AGGTGATTATTTAATAGCCCACTAATGGAATTAGTCTGTTTTTGCCCTTTGAGCTCTATTCTGTGAATAAAAATGATTAAGAGAAACAGTTCAAGCGTGTTCCAGTATGACTACCACATAAAGAAATACAAAAGACAGAGTCAATATAATCTAGTAGCTAGAGCACTGGACTAGCTACAAAAAGCCTTCATTCTAATCCCAGATCAGCTATTGATTTGCTATGCACCTCCCATGAGAAGGGGAAAAGAAATACCATTCTAAGCTCTTATTTTGCTTTTTACCTTTTGTCTCCCTTACCTATTTACTTTTGCAGTAGCTGTAGCAGGGGCACTTTCTACATGTGCAAAAGCCCACACTGGCTCTGCAGCATTGGGTGAGCAGCCCAGCTGCTAATTGCAATTAACAGTGATAGCAACATCATCTAATCTACCTCAAGACAGTTTTAAATCTTTGGTGCTTCTGTAACACTCTCAGAAACCTTACAGACAAACCAAAAAGCAGCAGCCTGTGGCAAGGAATAATAAAAGCACACAAATTATTTCCAACAAAAACATTATAGCCCATCTTTGAGCAATCTCCCTCACTCCCACGACTGCTATGCAATCCCCAGGCTGATGATGTATGAACCTGTTTTCTTGTTGGCGTTCTTCCAGACATCCAACTTTACATCTTGGCTAGCCTCTCCAAAATGGTTTCACCAGTAAACGACAGCATGATGCAGCCAAAACAAAGCTTATGCGCCTCCTTCCATTAAGCCCTGTCACCTCCCTTTCAAGCAGCCTTTGATTAGCACTCATTCTCTCTCCTGCATTCTCCAGATCTAAGCTGTGCCAAAATTTGCTGCTTTCCCTCTGCAACCACAGTGCCTCTAGAATCTATTCTGATAGTGAAACTTCTTTTTCTCATCCTTATCTCTAACTTTCTCAGAGTCCCCCATGCTAACTGACACTAGCAGACAGAAAATACTACCACCACCCGTCAGGCTCCCATTCATGCCATTAAGAGACATATACCTTTATTTCTCCAGACAGGTTCCTGACTCAGCACTTGCAAACCAAAGAGGCAAATATATTCTATTTAGAGTGATTTTGCATAACACATGCTATCCAACTGCCTCAGCTTTTTCTCCCCTTTGTCAGCACCAACTTTTGTTCTCTATTTGTTTCACGCCCACCAGTTTCGGAATACATATAACCACTTACTCGAACATGTGGCTAGAAAAGCACATGATCTTTACAGCCCACTCACAGCTAGTTCTGCTACGCCCCAGTAACTTCTCAACAAAATTCCCTTTCCTTCCACCAGCCAAGAGGCAGGAATGTACAGCTCAGTAGAAGGGCAGAGGCTAAAGCAGAGCAGTTCCCTCGCTCTCAGGGAGTTATCACTGTCTATCCGCATACCAGGACAACAACAACCTCTACTCCCCATGCAACCAGCTTGCCTCAGGTTGTCTCTGCATTCAGAGATTTGGCTGTCCTTCCCTACGGTAGATAAAACACTCCCCAAAGGCAAAACTTCTTTGTAAGCACTCAGCCCTTTGATCTCAGAAGCAGCTGGTACACAGCTGTTCCCCATTACTTTTGGAGCTCTCAAGAACCTTTTGCATTTTCCTATCCTCCCTCACAGGCAGCCACAGAGGGCAAGAACACCACCAGCAGCCATCTTTCATTCTCATGCAAAAATTTTTACGTCCATCTCATGTGCCCTGCCCAATTCTTCCTTGAACTACTACCGCCCACCTGGCCCAGTACCAGCTCTTCCCTCCCAACCTGTTCCCCAGGCATGCGAGCAATGCCTTGCTGTTCCTTTTCTCACCAAGAGTCTCCCCCATGCTCGGGTGTCTACTGGGGAGACAGAATATTCTGTCTGTCCTTACGGATAGTAGGGAACAGGCTGTTGTCCCTCATCTCAGGAAAATCTTCCCTCGGGTCACAGATGTTTGCAGGTAGTAACAAAAATCAATTCCACCCCCCAGTTTCTCTTCTGTGCTGTGCTACAAAGCCCAGCGAGCACAGGAAAGGAGGAGCACACCATCGGACGTTGCTAGCAAAACATGGATCTGGTTAATGCAGTATCATCTCACACAGTCTAAGAGTAGACCAAGTGCAGTGACTATTACCAGCACAAGGTTTTCAATAATACTTTGTACAGGTTTAAAGAAAACAGAGGAAAGCCAGAAACCAACTCAGCATCTCAAATAAGTAAATTGCAAGAACGAGAGACAGGATTTTAATCCCTTCCTTAGATGGAAAAGCTATTTTAAACAACCACTAGAAGACAACTAGGGATTGTAGGAAACAACATAGCCAAATGACTCTGCCTGTAACACTGAGCTTTGAGAAATATTTACAGTTGCTTACCTACATAGATAGGAGGCAAAGGGAACTGTTGATCAATCTGATGAGATTTCCTTACATACCGATAAGATTAACCTTAATACTCACATGCTGAGGAAAACTGATAGAGCTGAAATACCCTCTTCTCAGCCTGCTTTCCAGAATTGTCTCAGTGAAGCTATCACCATGTCCCCCAGCACTTCTGCAGCAGCTACTTCATCAACGAACGCAAGGTGCTCTGCAACCAGGTGCCAATTGGAAAAATGACTTCACCTGGTCCTACTGCTGACATTTCAGAGCCAAGGCTGCTGCACTCCTGCTGGGAGTAGTATGAGGCATATGCATAAGACTTCACTCCTTTCTCTCAGTTAATAAGGGAAACAAACCCATCAATACAAGACTCTTATTTCTGGATGGCAACTGTTTTTTTCCAAGCAGTATATGTCACACTTGTTTGTGTGCATCTATACACATTGTGGGGGAAAAAGTTAATTTTACTAGAATCTGACAGAAAGATAAGCACATTTGCTGGACCAGCTGCAGACTTCATCCAGCACTGTTTTGACACCATTTCCCACAGCATTCTCCTGGAGAAACTGGCTGCTCATGGCTTGGACATGCATGCTCTTCACTGGGTAAAAAACTGGCTGGAAGGCCAGGCCCAAACTGTTGTGGTGAATGGAATTAAAACCAGTTGGTGGCTGGGCACAAGGGGTGTTCCCCAGGGCCCAGTACTGGGGACAGTTCTCTTTAATATCTTTATCAATGACCTGGATGAGGGAATTGAGCGCACCCTCAGTAAGTTTGCAGATGACACCAAGTTGGGCAGGAATGTCGATGTGTTTGAGGGTAGGAGGGCTCTACAGAGGGATCTGGACAGGCTGGATGGATGGGCCGAGGCCAATGGTATGAGATTCAACAAGGCCAAGTGCCAGGTCCAGTGCTTGGGTCACAACAACCCCATGCAGCACTACAGGCTTGGGGCAGAGTGGCTGGAAAGGCTGCCTGGCAGAAAAGGACCTGTGGGTGTCGGTCAACAGCTGGCTGAATATGAGCCACCAGTGTGCCCAGGCAGGCAAGAAGGCCAACAGCATCCTGGAGCAGTATGGTGAACATGACAAGGGCAGTGATCATCCCTCTGTACTCAGCACTGGTGAGGCTGCACTTTGAATACTGTGTTCAGTTTTGGGTCCCTCGCTACAAGACATTGAGGTTCTGGAACATGTCCAGAGAAGGGCAACAAAGCTGGTGAGGGGTCTGGAGAACAAGTCTTATGAGGAGCAGCTGAGTGAAGTAGGGTTGTTTAGCCTGGAGAAAAGGAAGCTGAGGGGAGACCTTATTCCTCTATACAAGTACCTGAAAGGAGGTGGTAGCAAGCCAGGTATTGGTCTCTTCTCCCAAGTAACCAGAAACAGGACAAGTGGAAATGACTTATGGTTCAGTGGTTTAGGTTAATAGTTGGACTCAATGATCTTAAAGGTCCCTTCCAACATAGACAATTCTATGATTCTTTTCATAAAGATTTAAGATTTTTAACTTTATATTAGAACTTTTGCTGTAGGTGTAACTTTTAGGAAAAGCCCAAGCTTTTAAGAGACCTTCTGATCAAGGGGAAAAAAGACACTTCTGGTTACTATTTTTTTTTTTTTGGGAAGTTGACACATGGCCTAATCCCTCAACATACTTTCAAAAGCAGACTTCAGCCAACAACTGAAGCCATTAGCACTGATGCATAGTAATGAAACGATGTTTGAGCCAGCCATGTTAAATATTTACTAGTCAAGCAAAGAGCTTTCCCAGACTTCTCCATTCAATTTGTGATTGTGTGGGTCTATGTATGTACATGTGACAACGTAGCACTTCTACCTACTAGAAACATCTCATGGCAGGATCATTTTGAAAAACATAATGATTTAAAAAACTGTTTGCTGAGTTGTCCAAGTTGCATTCGTGAAACATGTAACAAAACTTGAGCAAAAGGTGTTATGCAGGATGATTCTCCTCACTGCAGAGGACCAATAAACAGGTTAAAAAAAACAAAGCTCATCTGCTTCCCATGGGCCTTCTGCTTTTCTGTGCCACTCACCCTGATAGGAGATCTTGACGTTTCCACTACAGCTATGCCCTAACTTCCACTACCAATCTCTTGCTCCATAAAGTGAAAAACTTCCATTTTAGCACTGCATCAGTACTTTAATGATACATACACACTCCATAAACAAAAAAACAAGTAACACCCATCCCCACTCTCCCCCAAACCACCATCCAACCTTTCACGGGTTTCAACAAGAGTTAACCTGGATTCTTTATAGCCGCCTATGCTCTCAGCATTACTGCTTTTGGTTAACAAAACCTGTTTCACTTCAGCTGCATTGTTTGAAGGTATGTCCATAGCATTCTTCCCAGAAAAGTGTCTGCAATAACATGACAGTGAAGTCTTGGCTAACTTTCAAATTCCAGAATTACTCCTGGATAAAGGGAAACCACTTACAGTCAATTCCTGAGAATTTAAACTCTCAAAAGCATGTATTTTTCTTAAAGCTAGAATTGCAAAGTCTTTCAGAATGCACTGTATGACAGTGAAGAAATAAAAATCCATTCCTTCCATTGTAGGTCATGCTTTAAGGGCTATAAATAATGGAAAAAACATATACAGCTTCTTAGTACTTAACTTGTTACCAAGTTACTTTTATAAAAAAGTATCTTACTACATTTCTGTACAGTAACACAGGATTATTAGAAAACTTCTGTAGACGTAGCTTTATGGAGGACAATCATCGTTAGCTCCTACAGCCATCTGAAGCCAGTAGTCCAGATTTCTAAAAATGACAAAGTTGTAGAAGTTCTCTCCTCCCTTGTGGAAACCATGTTCACTTTCTCTCCAGGAAACAGGGCTGTCTGCAAAGCCATGCACAGTTAATGTCAGCCAATGTGCCAGTTTTGGTTCTTCAAAATAGCAACTGCAAGGAAGAAGACGAGGTAGTCAATAATTACAATGGAATACACAGCATGTTCAAGTATACAATGTAAAGCAAAAAAAAGAAATCAGACACAGGCATTTTAGTGAAAATTTGTAATTAACAGTTAAACCCCCCCTGCTTTAGAACATAATAAATAAATTTAAAAGAAAATATTCTATCAGAAGACATCAAGAAATGAAACAAGATTGACTCTTGATTATTCCTACCATACTTTTAGACACGGCAAACGCGCAAGTTACAGAAATTAGAAAAAGTTCCAAGTTGTAAAGTAGCTGTTCTGAATTTCCTACAGCACGCATTATCTTTCAGAAAATAGAATATTTACTAAGAACAGTTTCTATCAGGGCAAAAAAGACATTGGAGGAAGAAACATAGTCAGGCTATGCTTAACACAAATACTTTTACCACCAGAACAGAAATGGATTACAAATAATCAAAGCCAGACATTATCCACTGTTCTTTAAAGTAGAGAATAAAAGCCAAGGAAATTTGTGTTCCAACCCTGCATGAGATTTGAAGATTGCTCAGAGTAATGATCACATTCCAGATAAAGCAACAGCAATGTTGTTGTGAGTCAGTGCTATAACTGTTAGCCACCTGGCACTTTAAGAATTGTCTCACAGATGAAGCAAGGAGCTTCCAGAATTTGCTATCAGTAGCATAGATACCACTGATCCATGATACACTAGTATCATGTAGTTTGGTATTGAATTAGAACTACTGCTACCCTGGTCACCACTATCCAGTGTCCTATGTCACAACAGTTGATCCAAAAAACTCACTATAAGTTAATTTATCGTAATGGCATAACAACCTTGGAGTACCTTGTGACACTCATTTTGGTATCATAAAAGGACTTCAATCATATTTTCCATCAGTAGTTAAAAATACTATATTAGATATATTTGATGGCATGTGCTTTTCATAGGTGAGAGGAATTTGAAAAATGTGGAGCTCAGCAGAACCACCGTTTCTTAGAAATTAAAAGAAAAAGCCAAGTCACTACTAGAATACAGGGCAGGCATTCTCAATTTGGAGTATCCAAAACTGTTTATTGCTTTTTTATACCCATGTTAAGCTTCCAGCTCATTTCCTAATTAAAAAAGCAAGTCTTCATTTTGTGTATTTTGCTATTTACCTCAAACAGCACTACTGAAAAGAAGTATTTAAAAGTGATTCTGAAAATTAAAAAGCGTAGAGTACAAATGTTTTAGTAATGTACTCCTGTCAGCCATTACCATAGTTGCTCCAATAACTGAATTATCTTCTCAGGAATTATAAAGCCTGTGATTGTGCACAAAAAAGCTTTTTCCACTATTGTGTTGGGCTGAGGACAGCAATAGGTTGATAAGAAGCTAGATGATTTGTTGTCTCTGAAAAACAAACAAACAGAACAACTAAAATAAATATACTTGAAATGTTCTATAGTAAGAATTAGTAATCAAAAGTTGTACCAAACAAGTAGTGTCTATGCATATCATCTAAATTAATACAGAACCAACTAGTGGCTAAGCAATTAATACACAAGACGTCATGGTGCTGTGGGTTAACCCCGGTAAGCACCTAAACACCACACAGCCACTCACTCACTTTCCCCTAGTGGGATGGAGCAGAGAATAGGAAGGGTAAAAGCAAGAAAACATGTGGGTAGAGATAAAGACAATTTAATAGGAAAAGCAGAAGTTGCACGCGAAAGCAAAGCAAGCTAAGGAATTCATTTACTACTTCCCATCAGACGGCAGACGTTTAGCCATCTCCATCTTGTGTAACTGTGAGTTGGGAAGACAAATGGTATAACTCCAAATGATCCCCCCCTTTTTTTTCCCCCCCAATTTTATTGCGAAGCATGCCACCATATGGTGTGGCATGCTCATGTCAACTGACCATGTCCCTTCTGGTCTGCTGTGGTGGCTGTGTTCCCTCCCAGCCTACTCACTGGCAGGGCAGCACGAGAGACAGGAAAGACCTTGACGCTGTGTAAGTGCTGCTCAGCAACAGCTAAAACATCCCTGTATTATCAACACTGTTTTGGTCATAAATCCAAAACACAGCACCACACAAGCACCAATACACATGGGTACCCCGAAAACCAGAGTGAAGTTATTCAAGAATTACAACAAACACTTAAGCACCTAACAGACTTCCCACTTACAGAAATGTGCCTTTCTTAATTCTTATTTAGCTCTTCCTTAAAATAAACTGTGGGTTTCCTTACTTAAAATGTATGTAAAGATCAAACAAATTAAAGTACTTACAAGCTAACTTGATTCACGACAGCACCAAGCCATTCAAACAGTTCCTCTGTACTGCAGGACTCCTCTGGCTTTCCTTGTAGTTCGTTACTTTGTAACACTGGACACTGCAAGTCCCTTAATGTGCTGAATGTTATTTTTGGCTTCAGAGCCCGTATTTGGTTCTTTGAAAAGTATGACATCAATGTTGATCCCTCTGCACCTTAACAACACAACACCACAAAGAGCTGTTACAAAACTACTAAACAAAAGGAGCACTGAATACATGAAACCTTTGTATATGTATATAAGAAAATGCAGTGTGTAAACTGCTTACATGCTGTTATCTTTGGCAAAGGCCACAGAATCTTCAACTTCTTTATCTTACTGGAAATAAAACAGTGCAAGACTCAGTATAGTTCGGTAAAATTACTATTTAACTATCAAGTATAGATTTGTCAATAGAAAATTCAAGCAGAATTAACTGGGCAAGTAATAAAATGAACTTATTAGCAAGAGAAATTCAGAGTGTTCCTGAAGAGGAACACGTGAAAAGGAGCATGAACACGTTAACTGCTTCCCAAGACAAAGTTGTCTGCAAATGCACTCACACTATAAGTATAGCCATGCCTGTAGTCGCGAGGCCAGAGAACATTTTACCTTACTAGTGCCTGTATATACATTCCCTCGATGCCCATGCATAGGTACGTGCTGCTGTAGAAGAGTGATGTGTGCCTTATACCATTAGGTCATCTCTAGCTCAGCATCTCTAGAAATTCATTAGGCATTGCACCATGAGAGGAAGAATATATGTGGTAGATGTACACAAAGATAATGCATGTCTAAGACCAGGTAAATGGAACTAAGCTCAAACGAATTCAGGCAGTAGTCCCTCCAAAACCACTGAGTGTCTAGAGGGACTGCAGCATCAGCAGTTCACTGAGAACTGCCTCCTAGAGAAAGTGTGGCTTCTAGAATCACGAACAACTCCAGTAGAATAAATTCCTGCAGATCTCAGGAACACTTTGCAAAAAGCTATAGTGTCATTTAAATTCTCCTGGAACACGCCTTCACAACTACAGAAAGTTTCCTTTTTTGTTGTCCTTAAAGGCACTTGATCTTCTAGCCAGCATGTCAGGTTAGTGGATCTCTTAGCTCACTCAGCTAAGGACAAAAACATGTAAGAATCATTCTGATTCTCTAAAGACCACATACTTGATTTCCTGGGTGTGATGGCAAACAATTTAGGAGCCATAAGGTTTTTGAGAAAAACTCTTGATTTACAGTAAATTAAGAAATCATCTTCAGATAATGTATATTGGGAAGGTGATATTACCCCAGAAAAAATACCAGAATCAGTTATCAAGACTAGAGACCCTCTTACCCACCTGGCTAAGGTGTCTGCCATCCCAGAACATTGTTTTCCCTGAATAGTCAAAAAGTGAGCAGGTGGCTACAGGTTTGAGAACAGGTTTATCAATGATGTCAAGATGAATTTCAGAATAGTCTGGGGGACAAGGATTGAAGAGAGAAGGAAAGGGGGAGTATAGAGAAATCAAACTGTATCACAAATCCCATTTTACTAAGATCAGAGAAGAAAAAAACAAAACAAGAGAACAGTGAGAAGTCTTCAAATGCAGTATAGCTGTAGGAGTTAGATGTACCTTGATGGACTTCTGGGAAAGGCCACATTACTTCAACTGCAGTAAGTGATCCAAAACAGCAGCTAAAAATCTAAAAACCTAACCTAAGCAAGCATATTGCAAATTAAGAGATATTAACCAACGTCCTTTCTGAAGCAGTAACATAGTTGATATGGAATCAATTCTCCTAAATTTGAAATTCCAGACAACATATTCTATTTTTGTATAGTAACAATGGGTCTCTAGGTGACCAAGAAATACCACCTTATTCATGAGAAGTCTGAAGCCCAGAATAGCATTTAAATACCGCAGGAAAAGCACGTATGAACAGAAAAAATTCAAGAACAGGGTAGAGTTCACTACGGAATAGTGACAAATCCAAGACTTACTATCCAAAATTATGGACTGCTTAAACTCCATCAGCCATATTTATCTCATTAAGGACAATCACATGGGGAAGCAGAAAAAGGAGGACTAACCTTATCCTTTTTAGTCATCCGTCAAAAAAGGCTGTCCAAGTACCAAAGGGCACAGTGACAAACACAGGCAGCCACTGAATTCTTGTTAATTTAGTATTTTTATAGATATATTTAAGTCTGAAGTGTGCTAGAACAGATCCTCTTCCTTCACTCTGTACTTCCTCTTGGCATTTGTTAGACTAACAGGTTCAAGGAATGTATAATTTCTTATACTTGACTAAGAATTCTAGGGCAATATTATACATTTTAAATGTCTGCTCCATACGGGAGCCTCAGCTACAGTCTGACTTCAAGAAATCTCAGACACTATATCAAGACTCCAACAGAACAATTCCTCTAGCTAGAGCACAGCTTTCCATGTCAACAACAACCAGGCACGTTGTCAAAGTTTTTTGGAGGCCAGTGAATTTCAGCCAATAAACACTTAAAATTGTCATAGAGATTACAGCAGTAGAAGAGAGAAGAAATGGTTGGTCTGTCTCTGTCATTAAAGATGTGAGACACTGCATATTCCCTTTTTCTGTTCCTCCTGGTGCCAGAACCACTAAGTGGGAAAAGTGGGTATGAAAAAAAAAAAATCCTGCTTTTGGAAAGTGACATTAATGTTTATAGTTTTGCAGCAGTGCTGGCCATAGCAAGAAACACCAGTTAGCAGCAGGAAGGCTGAAAGCAGGAGGTTCAGAGGACACGGATTCTCTCGACAAAACACATCCCTCTTTTCCCCTTCCAGCAGAATCTACACAATGCCTCATGTCTATTAATAAAAATCTATAAAAGTTTTATTTTTGTCAGTACAAAGGAACTAAATCTTTTGTGTGTTATGAGCACAAGATTCCTGCACAGAAAGGCATTTAGATTTAACCCCATATTCAGGAAATGATTGACCTGACCCGGTTTTTGGATGTAAGAAAGTGAGGAATGTGAATGCTGTTCTTCCTGAATGCTGCTACACTGGCAGCAACAAACTTAAGAAACATACCAGCCCTAGAGGCATTTTGCTCTCTGCCCAGGGTCAATAAATCCAAGCATACTGAGCCTCAAGATCCACCACCTTAGTTGGATTTGTGTCACCATTTATGGTAGCAACAGTCTTCACCGTGACTCTTTTCTGAAGACAAGGACAGACATTGCAAGCCTTTAAACAATTTCTGAATGACAAACAAGGAAGGATCCTTGTTGTATGATTAGTACTTAAAAAGCATGAGGGGAAACATGAAGGACTAAAATGAAACATGGGACACTGCTAAAGGAACTCGTAAGCAGCTTTAATTTCTCAGATCAGCAACTCCCTCTCAGACTTGGTCTTGAAGAGCCAGAAAAAAAACACACTAAAAGCTACACAGCTATGATGAAGAAAAACATTTTTTTTGCAGTGCACGCTCCTGCAGTTTTTGTCAATTCCATCCAAATGCTACATATCCCTAGATACAGCCTGTTCTGAGGTAAAACAAGCAACTGAGGAGTTTGGAAAATGACCCTCAGAGGAAGAACAATACTTAAATCCCAGAAGAAAAACTAATGTAATTAGAAAACAGTAGATAAACGAGTGCTAGAAGAAAGGTGATTTGAGATAATACAATTTCTTACAACAATAACCTCTTACTCTGCTCCAATCTCACACAAGTGCTTGAGATAAAAGTATAAACTAGTAGACTGCGTGTGTATCAGCGTACACAGCACATGACAGAAATACAGACTCTGTACATGTCCTGTAACTACTGATGAAATGAAAGTTCCCCATCTCAAGTACTACACCAAATATATAACTTACGTGTATTAATAACAAAAAAACCCTGTATTAACAATGGTCATGTATGTCACAAATTTATAAAGAGGCAGCACTATCAAATAGGCAAAGTTATGCCAGAAAGCCTGGGCAACACAAAGACAAGGAAATGAAGCAACTAATTCTGTCTCCTATGAATCACTGTTGTGTTCCTGAAATGAAATGTTCTGCTGCGTAGGAAGTAACACACACCCGAAACAAATAAACAAAACAAACAAAAAATCCCACCCAAACACATTTTAATCTAACTTTTCCCTCCACTAAAAATGCATTTGGACAATCACTAGAAAAGAACAGTAAACTAAAAATATTTGGACTTGATGTCAGTTACATTTTAGTTTTGCATTTACTTCTCATTACCTGTATTATACCAAGCCAGTAGGAAGTCAAATTCTAACGGTTTCTTTTCTTTCAAGGCCCAAAGCACTCTGTTATGTTTCTTGCTATCGGGGTGAAAGCCAGAATCAGTCAAGTCAATAGTTATAACTGCAAAAATGTAAAAAAGCAATAGTTACTCAACTGAAATAAATTTTAACATTAAATTCATTAAGAACTAAAAGAATACAAAGAAACCAAAGAACATTAAACTTCCTTTTAACATATACAGCATAAAGTATTTGATTATGCAAATATGACTCCCCATTATGTAAATAAATATTCACCTCCTGCTGTCCTGACTTTGATATTATCTGGAACTGCCTTCTAGTAACTGGAGGGACAGATTCCTTTTGTAATAGCAATGACAGACATCCCAAAACAGCACCTTAAAAATATCTTGGTAATTAGGCAAGCTATTAGCACTAAAAAAAGCTAGAATGTCTAACATCAAAAGCCACGTATATTGCAATGACAATTTTTCAACTGTTTTTTTTCTAGATTAATTGGTCCCAGGCTAAAAGTTACATTTATTTTTCAGATGGAAATTTCATCATACATTTTACTTGACAAACTGAATAGTAAAATGATGTACCATTTTGCCAAAATTCTTATTATAGATAAAAACATTAGAAGTTGAAAATTGTTATGTAGCTACTTATCAACTACTGTAGGTTCTAATATATACGAGATGGTATATTGTTCATGGCTTTTTTAAAAATTATTTAACAAAAAAAAAAATTACCAAAATGTCACTCTCGGTATGTCTCCTCTGCAGCTGTTAAAAAAATTACAACATTTTCCAAATACTTGGTACATGGAGAGCACCATTTTAAATGTGTCAAATGTAATACAATTTTGCCATTCAAGCAAGCAGTCTCGAGTGAGGGTCTTCACTGTATAAACAACACAATGAAAAAACAGTAATTAAAAATTTTATAAAATACCCAAAAGATCACGTTTGCTCCCTTATAACTGCTTTATTATTTGGAAAAAGTGGGGTTTTTTTCTTCATGCTGTCCTTATATCTGCATGTGGAAAAATACGACCTAGACAATAACCAATTTTAAGGAAAGGGAAGTGTCAGCATTGCTTGTTTAACATCCTAACAAGGTGCTTCACAGACAGATCTGAAGTAAGCACCATCAATATAAATTATACTTACTATATCTCATTACTTTTTTGCCAGAATACCGAGAAGGGCGACCTTGCAGTCCAAGTTCCTCATAAGTATCCTTATCCACTGATAGAATTAGTTTTCCTATAAACAAAATAAACTTTAATACAAATAATCTTCTACTTAGTTCTCTTTGAAGTCTTCTGAGAACGGTATACCTTATACAATGTTAGTTTTGGATCAACAGTATTACCAGTGTAATCCAGACTCCTTAGTTCCAGTTAAATGGATTACCGGATTAACCTTTAATAAAAATTAAAGTGTTGTAACTCAACTATTCCTTTTTTATCAGAGTGGTCTTATGAACTAGAATGAGAAAAGTATAATATTACTCCTGAGATAGTCATAGCTTTTTTAACTGTACTATCTCACTTCATTGCCTCAATCTTTCCTCCGCTTGTCCCCTAGCATTTGCCGCATCCTTGGTTGAACACTGCATTACTCTAGGGCCTGACTTAGTAAACATTCATGCATGCACTGCTCAACTAATTATACAAAAGTAGTTCCTCCAAATCCAATGGGACTACTCACTGCGTAAACTATGGTTATTAGTCACGAGCAGATATGCACTGGAAGAACTTCACTTCCATGTTCATAAACCAAATCTGGCAGCTGCCACTTGGTACAGAATTTCACAGAACACATCTCTACTACAGTCTTTTGATTCTACTGTACAAGTAACAGTATAATATAGAATACAAACAAATAAAGTTGGTGCTGAAGATTTCAGATGCTGACATCACCAGGAACTGTAATGCTCTCTCTGCATTACTTGTGCATTGCATACAATAATTGTACCATACAAACTCAAACACTACCAAGTATCCATTTTGCTAGGACTGTGCTAACAGAGCACATACAAAATCCACTCTCTGAAGAATCTTTATTTACTTATGTCCTGATGGGCACCTGTCATGTTACAGTGTCTTAGGCTAAAGGGCTGACAGACGAATTTGTGTTTCTATTATATCTGATATGCTGTTAAATGGAAACAAGATGACATATTTGAGGCCCAAAATAGCTTCATTATTTTCTCTGCATTAAAAATCCTGAGATGTACTATTTTTTCATAAAACTGCGATGGAACTGCAACAGAGTATTCTGGCACATTACATAATTCTCAAAGAATAAACACTGAATATTTTAAAAGTTTTCCTAAAAGTGCTGATAATTGTCTTTTTTGGTACAAATTCTGTCTTCAAGACCAGTAAGAAACAAGAAGTTGGAATGCAATGTTTTCACAAAAATAATCCTCTGTAGCAATTGCAATTAAGAGTTGAAGCACTGACAATCTGATACTATACATAAGTGAAGATGATTTTTATTTCATTTCCTTCAGATTAAATAAATAATTTAACAACATGAATGAAAAAAGTTAGATTGAATATTTTTCCGATTCAAATAAAGTTGGCAAGTACAGTATGCATTAAATTTTCCAGTTTACGTCATTTCACATAAAAAAAAAACAAACCCAAGACCAGAATCAGTATGTGTGTATTACTAAAACGAAAACAAAACATACCATTTGGTAGCAGCGCTGCAGTATTATCTTGATCAATTCTTGTGTTATAGGTAAGTGCATAGCATGAACCTTTAATAACAAAGCAGAAGACCATGAGATTACAGTCTCTAAAGACAGACACGATAATATGAAAGATTCACCTCAAGATAATCAAACATGCAAAATACCATTTGAATCACTCTAAACCCTTGTTTTCATTAACTTTCTTCCACTTTCTCAAGCAAAATAGCATTTTGTTATTATTTTTATAAAACTTGGACTGGCACTATTTTAAAGGGTCTGTAATGCAGATAACATTAACAATATGCCCCAATATGAAAACACTTTCCACCTGCAACCTTCCCCACTCAGCAAATGGAAACTCCCATTTTTTGCAGATGCATTTTTATTACTAGTTCACATGAAGACAAGGTGGAAGATGCTCACATTACTAATATATTTTATAGCATTATCTGCCACAATCAATTTTGTTCTTAAAAACAGAAGAGTCAGATCCTGTAGACTCCGTGTACATATGTCATACAGCTTCCATAAAACTACTGGCATAAAAGCCATTAGTGAGACTAAAGGAAGTGTCCCACATTTAGAAAGTAATGGTTCTCATTCTTCTGTTTCACCCACATGTTCTTTTTTCTCCTTTGTTTTCCCTTTAATGCTGTTTTTCTCCCTGACAGTCATCTGAAGGGTACAACATTTATCACGAGCCAAACGACTGGGGCCCGCTCGTTGAAAACAGAACGTGCCGAGTTTGTAATAGCAAGTTGGTTGGGCAGAGGCTGCATCTTTCTTCATATCTTCTTTGCTCTTACTGTGTAAGGATGAGCCACCACAGCTCCACTAGCAAAAAAAAAAAGCAAGCTTTTTTTTTCCCCCCTCTTTTTCTCTTGCCTGCTGTAGAACACAGCTCTGTATTGGAATATGAAGGAACGAGAAAGAAAGAATGGAGCCAACTTCTGCAGAAATCTGCATAAAGATGAGGTGTAGAAGAAACAGCTGTGAGGATACACAGAAGCCCTCTTGATAGCTGGCTTGCAGAATTAAGATGGGAAGAGGGAACAATCATAGTTCTGGACCCAGCGGGTGTACACAAATGCTGACAAACCACAAAGCAATAAAAAACAGAAAGAAATTAATATAGAACTTTCTTTGTATTTTCCTTCCCTTAAAATACTTTCCAGAATAGATAATAACAAATGGATTTTACTGTGTTATGAAAAAAATACACTGTTACTGCATCTGTCATGTTCTGATTTCCTTCTTACCTTTCTTTACAAAAGCATCGATGAATTCGTGGGTGACCAATTCATGAACCAATAAATTTCTCACCAGGTAGTACTCTCCAACATCTGCAATGGTACTTTTCAGCACTTCAGGTTGTATGCCACATTCAGGGATCAAAAAGGACACCTATTAGAAACATATTCGTAATGTAAATCATATTGTAAAATTGGTTCTGGCAGAAAACCCAGAAATACATAAGCAAAACTCTACTTTTCAAAGACATTAGTATATTATACCAAAATGAGATGAAGAAAAAATAATATCAGGCTATTGTCTTCAAAATGTATCAATTTGCACAAAGTCTCTAGGTGCACTAAATACATTTTACATGCTATACAATAGCATTTGAGGTGTTACATAGAGGCATGACTTTACACAGCATGAGTTACCTAAAGATCTTGTTTCATGTCATTATAAATTTAGCTTGATTTCACACTGGAACATTTCCTGTAGCCCCTACTGAAAATGTAGGCTAAACATTTATGTAATCTCAGTGAAAATGCGAAGACCAAAGTAGAATTTAAACTAGTTTTTGAATCAATGCGTACTCCTCTGTAGATAATTTTGGAGGTCAGCATAGTCAACATACCATCAGAACAAAACTTGAAATGGACTTACAATTTTCAAAAAAAGTCATAAAGAGTATATTAAGGCTACAGCTTCTGTAGGACGTTTCCAATTGAAGGTAGGAAACCGATTTTCAAAAGGGGTGAGCACCTAGCTTTTCTTACTGAACTCAGCATTCAGCCTTTTGGTCCAATTGCCTACTTTTAATTTCCTTTCTGTTTCAAATCCTTCCTGTACGCGTTTCATAGAGCAACAGAACTCTTTAAGTCCAGGAGACCAGGAAAAACAAGGTTACTACATGCACAAGTACCAAGCTTCCCAACAAGTGTGCCCAAGCAGCATAAAGGTCTGTCCTCCTGCTCCTTCCCCCTCCATCCCTCAAAAAACGTTTGGCTTTTTTTTCAAAAGCTCTCAGAGAACAGGTACTTATCTACGTCCCTTTGCACACGTGTGCAACAGAAGTAACAAGGGAGAGATGAGCTGCCTGCCGCACAAGCGGGAAGCTTTCAACAGCCCAAGAAAGCAGAGCGACCTGGCAAAAACCGGTCCTCCCAACATTTTAAGTTGTCCAGAACAACCGAAGATGATGGCACGACACGACACACTTCGGTGGCGGCAGCAGGGACAACGTGAGAGAGGGGCCTTCCAGGGCACGCCTGCGGCCAGGCTTCAGCCCAACACCCCCCCATCCCCAGCGCTGGGGCCTCCCTCAGCCCCTCACTGCTCGGAGGAGGAACCTGTGGGGTCCCGCTCTCCGCAGGA